ATTAATTAGATAAAATATACATATTACTAACTGCTTTTGAAAAATTACAAATGTGCATTTCACCAGTATATTTTTAAATCTGGTATTTATTTGTCAAGATTAAATAAGTCAAACCTCATTATCTCGAACCAGATGGGACCGAGAAAAAAATTCTAGATATCCGAGGATTTGAGATATCAGGGGTAAAATACCATGAATACTTAAAGAATAAGTGTTTGGGACTTAAAAATCACTTCGACATATCCATGGTATTTGAGATATCAGTTTTCGAGATACTGAAGTTCAACTGTATCTAAAGTGTGAATAAACTGATGTTTGCGATACCTAAATCTTAAAAGGAATTTTTTCAACCAAATACTTTATACCTAGACCAAAACATTGTTTATCAAAGTTTACACAGCTCACCTTAACGAATGTTATCTTTAGATGAGGCAAAATTCCACCAACTATAATAATTATGCAATATTTGTCTGATAGGGCTTGCAATTACTTGGCAATGGACTTGTTCTTAAATTTAAGGCTAGTCAGTCCTCAAGAAAATTAAAGTCAAATCCAGCATATGAAGCAAGTTTGAGAGTGTTCACTCTTGAGTCATCATTCAAAATGTTTATATAAGATGGTGAAGTAAAAAAAAAATGCCAAAAAATTATACAAGAACTGACGGTTTAAATAAGGTTTTCCAATTATATTACGAGGCTATGACGTAGTTAAACTGAGTCATGTGACCATGTGTCCTTCATTCCCTTGAAAAGAAATCTGCTTCAAAAACTTTAACCCTGGACTCCGACACAGACACCAAGGGTATTAATTACCTCTTTATAAGCTTCCTCCCGCTTCGTTGAGGTGAGCTAGAATACTCTGAATGTTTACCGACATCATTGTCTATTTTAGATGTACAATGTAAGGAGACCCATTCAGTAGTAGAGGTAGGATGATACTAGCACACATCAATTCCAATCACTGTACTATATAAGTCTACCAAATATGCAAATTAAATCAGAAGGCTTAGAGACTAGCCCTGCCTACTGTACTTTATAAGTCTGCCAAACATGTAAATTAAGTCAAAGGCTCAGTGGCTACATCATCCAAATGACTCCACCCATTTGATAATAAGGTTTAAATCAGAAGGCTTAGTGACTAGCCCTGCCTACTGTACTTTATAAGTCTGCCAAACATGTAAATTAAGTCAAAGGCTCAGTGGCTACATCATCCAAATGACTCCACCCATTTGATAATAAGGTTTGATAGCGTGTTATTACAGACGGCTCAAGATCTGACTCCACCCAATATGATAATAAGCAAAAGGCTTGATTGAGTTTACTATACGATCTTACAGATCTAGCATATGTGTAAATTAAATAAAAAGAATTCCACCCATTTAGTATTAAGGCTTGAAAACATTACTATATGTTCTTACAGAAGGTATAAGATGATCTTTATCTCATTAGCAGATTTGCTACGGTAAGTTATTAAAAGTGACTGCAAAAATCATTTTAAAAAAACAAGAAATGAAAAATATATATGAAAATATATTCCCATTATAAAAATACATGTATAATCCAAGCACACATTATTTTTGTTTTTTTATCTCCGGAACTGATGCACAGTATTTCTCTGAAATAAATGGCTCCAGTTCATCGTCCCAATTCTCCCTTCTAATGTCAAATCTTCATACTTTGGAAGAGAAGTGTTACCCTTTCTGACACAATATTTCCCATTTTCCAACCAGTTCTCATGATTTTGTTTGTCCATGCATTTGTTATAATGTTCAATACATTCACCTCTTTTAATCTTGTGTGTAAAGTTATACTCGCAAGGGGTGAAATGTTTGCTTGTAGAGCTGTTGTTCCTTCCACACTTAATAATGTGACGGGTTAGTCTTTCTTTCCTAATAACGTGTGTCTCATCATACGGACAAACAACAAGATTAATATCATAACTCCCCTGGTATTGTGCCATCTTCCTTCCACTTTTATTCAAAGTATATTAATCCCAAAAACAAAAACAAATGAATTCTCCTACAGACACTAAAGGCAGCGAAGGCTTGTGTTTAAATATTTCGGGATATATTTACTTATATATGTACCACTAAAAACTTATAGTAAACTCTACCTATGATAAAAAAGTTTGCTTTTTATACAAAATGCTTACAGAAAACTCCACCCACTGATAGCAATTAAAATTTTTACCTTGGGTTCACAGAAAGTTTACCGATGGAAATGCTAAATTCATAATATCTATACCAATGACTAACAAAGAAGAATTAAACCAATTAAAAAATCATTCAATAAAAGCATTATTCTTGTAAATATGTATTAATTCCTTAAACGTATAAGCATACTTTTCTAATCTTTCTTTGCATCGACACTCACTAAGCCAATGACGGTTAAGGAGAGATAACTCCAAGTGACAAGATAACTCACCATCTTTCATAACAAGACGCTCATTATAATAATTTATACTCCACTCAACAAATAGTAGACATTAAGTGTTTCATCAGATGGTGAAATGAAATTTAAAGATAGATAACACGCACATTATCTCACGCCAAACTGCTTCAGGAACAAATAATGTCTTCGGTGCAAACATAAAACACCTATTTATTTATATTTATATTTCAGCAATAGCAAGTTCAACGATCCAATTTGCATATTTTCTGTAAAATTATTACTCAAAATCATTACTTCTACAAGCAATGAAAAAATGTCATCATTGACTTAGCAGTCAATGACCCTTTAACTCAACATTTAACACAACATCTTCCTCTTACTTGATAACCTCACTAATGAAATAATCAAAGAACTGATGAACCACCATGTGAAATATTTTTACCTTTTTGATATCTTTGAGATTAAATAATTAAAAAAGAAAAAGAAAAAAGTCATGTTTTTTTTTTAAATTTATTTGAACATGAAACCCAGCATGAAATAAAAAATAACTTATAATAACTTTGTATAATGTATAAATACCTTAACAAATCAAATAAATCATAACAATTACATCAAATGATTACTGATTGAAATGAAACTGAGAATAAAAATGAATACAAATCAGTAAAAAATTAGAATATTCCATAAAAAAAAAAATCAATACTTACATCAATTGATTATTGATAGCCATCTGAGACAAATCAAAGTAAAATCAAATATTTACATAAAATGATTACTGATTATTGATTAAAATTGAATAAAAAATTTTGCAGAGATCAGTAAAAGAAAATCAAATATTTACATAAAATGATTATTAATTGGAATTGATAAAGTATTTGGCACAGATCAGTAAAAGAAAATCAAAATATTTACATAAAATGATTATTGTGTATTGATTGGCACTAGATAAACATTTCACACAGATCAGTAAAAGAAAATCAAATATTTACATAAAATGATTATTGTGTATTGATTGGCACTAGATAAACATTCCACACAGATCAGTAAAAGAAAATCAAATATTTACATAAAATGATTATTAATTAGAATTGTGACATTTAATAAAAAGTATTCTTACAGAGTAGTGTTTATCAAAATATTAATTGTGCGTAAATTATTGACTATAATTGAAAAAGATCTGAAGTTGCATGAATATATTGAGAAAATGACTAAGAAACAATATATATTTGAATGTAGCAGTTATGAACTTTTTTAGCATACATAAGGATTAATAAATCTAATCACCAATTGTGATATAAGCGTGCAAGGTTATTGCTTTATGAAATATAGAGCATACAATTAAAAAGATCATTAATGATAGAAAATATTGCAAGGACAATGAATTATACTTAAGCTTATTAAGCTTGAAGCTGAAAATCTAGGCACAAATGTAAACAAGCAATGCCATTACTAAGTAAATCACTGTTCATTATTGCTTACTGATATGATCAAGTGATAACCAAGTTAACATTCTAGTGAACTTTTTAGCAGTGCTATTAATTTATCACTGTGATATGCATCTTAAATGAGTAAAATGTCTGAAAATAAATCCAAACATTAACTAAATTAATCAAAACCATATCGAACAGGTGCTCTTCTGTTTCTTTGCGGTAGAACTCTGCGTGGGGTGATTAGAGACTTATTGGTTTTTCTACATTTTTTAGAAGATAATTCCACATATAATTTCTTAAAGAACTGAGAGGTTTTTTTGTAAATTTTCACAGATATTACATATATTTCATAAATGTTCCTTATGATAATGTTGGTTTGCCTATGTATGTAAATAAGAACTCCTGCGATACCTACAAAAAGAGAAATTTGTGGTTGTAATACTTAGAAGAAAGAAGAGTAATATTGACTTGTAGCATCAGGTTCTTCTTCAAAATTAAAAATTCTGTTTCTGAGTCTGAAACTTTCAAAACTGTCTCTTTCATTCCTATTCTGCCCTGCATTTTTTTTTCTGTTTTGTATGAAACAGCAAAATTTCGCAAAGATGAAAATAATTGTTAAAGTTGATGAGAATAATGATCCAACTACAATGAAAATTAAGAATGAATAACAAGACATTACAGAAACATAGAGATCATGCATACTACAATAGCTAAGCAAGTTTCTGCAATAAGGCATGAAAGCACACACTGTGGGATGACAGTGAAGCTATACTATGTTTTCTTACCATGCTATTGATGATGTAAATGAGTTAATATTAATACATTTTTATACAACATGTATCTTTCAAATCAATTTAAAAATATTTTTCAATGTGTATAGTAACTATAGACTAATATTTTCTTGAATAATACTTACTTAATACAATGGTCATGAAGGTGCTCATCTCATGCATGTGCGTCTCACCACTGTCTAATCCATCCAACTACAAAGTGATAAATCTCCTTACAGAGGGATATTTTCAATCTACTGTTCACTAACTTTGAAGCATATAAATAGTTTGTACCACTTGTTCTTTACTCTAAAGAATTTAAATTATTATTATTGGGGTGGGGGGGGGGGGGGGGGGGGGTTTATAACAAAGCATATCCATTACCTAAACAATACTTAACATAGACTTACAGTAGGTGTAGACAATGGGTCTACAATTCCTTTAGTTGAGCTGGCTGATGCTTCTGTAGAAATCTACAATTTATGTGCAAGATGTGTAAAATAATAAAAAATACAATTTTAATAAAATTAAACTGTAGTATCATAACTTTACCATGTTTATTAGTTACTCAAAGAAATGATCTATTCATTTTCTTTACCTTACTATTCCCTGTACCCCTAATCATCGATGTGGTGGGACGGACGGTGTCAGATTTGGAGGCCTGCTGCAAAAATTGTAATTCAGAAATTAGTCTAACTTTACCATGTTTATTAGTTACTCAAAGAAATGATCTATTCATTTTCTTTACCTTGCTATTCCCCGTGCCCCTAGTCAGCGGTGTGGTGGGACGGACCGTGTCAGATTTGGAGGCCTGCTGCAAAAATTGTAATTCAGAAATTAGTCTAACTTTACCATGTTTATTAGTTACTCAAAGAAATGATCTATTCATTTTCTTTACCTTACTATTCCCTGTGCCCCTAGTCAGCGGTGTGGTGGGACGGGCGGTGTCAGATTTGGAGGCATGCTGCAAAAATTGTAATTCAGAAATTGGTCTAACTTTACCATGTTTATTAGTTACTCAAAGAAATGATCTATTCATTTTCTTTACCTTACTATTCCCTGTGCCCCTAGTCAGCGGTGTGGTGGGACGGACCGTGTCAGATTTGGAGGCCTGCTGCAAAAATTGTAATTCAAAAATTAGTCTAACTTTATTTATATCATGTTTATTTCTTACACAAAGAAACCGATTATTCATTTGTTTACCTCACTGTTGCTGGTGCTCTGGATATCGATGGGGCGGGAGGTCTCAGTCGAGGAGGAAGAGACATGCTGCAAAATTGTTGTTCAGAAATTAATCAAACTCTATCATGTCTACATGTATTAGTTACCACAAAGAAATGCTACATGCCCCCCCCCCAATCATTCATTTCAGAAGAACATAATAAATTGCTTACACATTCGGTTTTGGACTCTCCCAAATAAAATGTAATATCGTTGTTTGTAATGACATGTTGATCCATGTCCCTGCAACTTAATGTTGTAATTTCAATAGAAACAACTTGAACACTATGTGTACACCGGAGGTCCAAAATTCCATCACTGTCAAAGCGGTCAAACGAAAGAAAGGGGGTGTCATCAATGCACCCCCTGTACCACCCACCACCATCCCACACGCATCTACCGCTAAAATCACAAACGGAATCCAGCAGTTTTGCTTGCACATGTACAAACAATATCATAAATATGTCGATTAGGATTTCTGTGAGTGTGAACTTCATGGACTTGATCATGGTCACCATTTTCTTCCGCGCGTTTCTTCGAATAATGAATTTCGAGCCCGATTTTATTGTTTCAATTTAAAAAAGACTTTTTAAAAACTGCGTATGTGTGTGCTCATTTCCATTTAATTTTTACGATTTAGACCTTATATGCTTTGTTTGATTCTTTTATTAATAGAATAAACGCTCAAAGTTCTAAATTTACAATCTTTCAATTATCATTATATTTAGCTTTAATTAAAGATTCAATTGTAATTGTAATACTGAATAATGTTTATCATCCGGAGTTATAACTTAAAAAGACAGTACTGCGTTTTCAAGGACGAGTCAATGGTCGAGAAGTTATTACATACATTAAAAACTTGATTGTGTAAAAATATCTATCATATCAAATTTTTATCAGTTGTAATTCATAAATATAAAAAGTTCGAAGTCTGACATTAGCATGAAATTTCAGCAACCTATGAACTCTGCCTTAGTTAGTCCATGCAAAGTAAGGAAATGGTTCACGTTTGCATAATACTTAATCAAAGAAATAGAGACAAACGTCACGAACAACAGGGAAATTTACAACACACTTCCTTACATATGTTAAGTAATCAAAATCAAGAGTCACAAATTTGCAAGACTATAGTTGTTTACTTCTTTACAAGATAAAAGTTGTTTGCTATATTTTGAACTTTTCAACCAAAATGTATATATCATATGCTGAGTAATCAAAATCTAGTCACAAAATTTGCAAGACTTTAGCTGTTTACTTCTTTACAAGACAATAGTTGTTTACTGTATTTTGAACTTTTCAACCAAAATTTATTATTGAAAGGGTAATTAGACCGAGTATAAACATATATATATATAACAAAGTTCAAACACAGCGCATCTAAAAGCAGTCATGGCTTCGAATGTAAAAGCCGTCTTCTCACAACAAATTGATGATGATGGTGAAACCCCAATGTTTGTTATAGAGAAGAATGATTCTTTGAGAATTAGGAAAGGACAGTACTCCATCAAGATGTCCTATTACAACAGGAAGGTCTACTTCCACATTCAAAGTAAGTTTAAACCTTATTGAATAAAGCTTTGTTTTATGGCAATTTATCCAGAAAACTGAAACTAAAAAATACTCATAATTATTAAATTATTAGGTACTTTGATACCACTCTTTTTTTTCTTTTTTTTTTTTCTAAAGTATGGATCCGTCACCATGTAAAACATTTACGTTTACCTGTTATATCATTAATATATCCATTATTGAATTCAGATCAGATTAAAGTGATATTACGTCCCTGATAAGGCTTTAATATGGAATTTTAACATATTTCTTTTTCTGTTTTCTCCTGACAGATAATGCAAGGGGAACATCAACTTCCCTCCCTGAGGAGGTCATGCTGGCAATGACAGGTTTGGGGGAAGAGATTTCGGCAGTAAGAGACTTTGTAAAAAGTCTACAACCTCCGAGTCCTCCAATGGTAAGTTTTCTTGAATTTTGTCTTCATGTTTAGACGATGATATAGATAGCCGTTTAGATAATCCATACAGTTGATATACACATATGTCGGATAGGCAAAATTCCACAAGTGTTATCCGCTTTTTTTTAATATAGCTCAGAATCAGCGTGCCAAAAAAAGGAAAGTTACTATAGTTGAATCAGACGATAACGAAGATGGGGCAACTTTTTAAGATTCATGACCATCTACTGTAGTTAGAAATATTTACTCAAGAATTAATATGTTAACCAAGAATAATGAATACTCGACCCAAGAAGCGGAAGAAGTTACCCTCACCCTATTTTTAATTATTTTAACAAGATCCAATCTTTGAGGCATTCCTGCGTGGTGGAATTAAAAAATGAGACGGTTAAACTTAAGTCATCAGCAGATGTTCTTCTAGAAGGAATCGATAAAAAAACAAGAGAAGTTGACGTAGACGAACAACAATTAGAAATAATCAAAAATCGTATGGCTGACATTTGTTACATCCACTCTTTGCGGCATTCCTGCGTGGTGGAATTGCACAATGAGACAGTTAAACTTAAGTCGTCAGCAGATGTTCTTCTGGAAGGAATCGATAAAAAAAAGAGAGAACTTAACATAGACAAACAACAATTAGAAATAATCACAAATCGTATGGCTGACATTTATTACTATCTATGTGTCATGGATTTTCATTGTTAAGCTTTAATAAGGTCAAAATTAAAAAGTTTGTTTGCAGTTGCCTACCGAAGCACTTAAAATACATCCGATTCAAACTTTTTTAACCTATTATTTGTTATCCAACTGAAACCAGAAAACTAATATTTTTTATTATTATTGAAAAAAATTAAAAATACCTAAATACCCACTCTTAAAATTACAGGTTGACAATTGCAAACAAACACTTTTTTATTCTTGACCTAATGTTATAATATATGAAGCTTACTTCCGACTTGGTTGAGTTTCTATTACTTTACCCTTTTATGTACTCATTTAATTGTATATTAAGATTTATCAATTCAGTTGTATATTATAAATTTGATTTTAAATTATGGAAGAAAACTAATTTTCAACATATTTAAACCTTTAAGGATAGCAAAGTCAAAATATTAAGATATTTTAACACAGTATTGATAAATCTTAAGCAAATCATAATACGTGTATACTTTCTTGATATAAACTCTTCCGTTTTATACTTTCAATAGACTCTGCAACGAAAACGCGATATTTATAGAACTATTGTAAACAATTTCATGCTTTATTCCTTTACTCATTTAAATCAATTGCAAAACTTGAAAAATTTCTCCATCAAATTTAAAGTATATGATTTTAAGATTACTGACTTTTATTGTTACTATCCCAGCTGTGTACTTGTTATTTGCATCCTTGTTAATTAATTTCCATTTAAGGGATTTCGCTTAATTATTTACTGTATGTCAAAGTATTAGTATATTGTCTAAAGAAAATTGTTGGAATGAAGGTTTTATGTTTATTTCAAAGATTTGTATCAAACTTCTCAATCTTAAATACATGTTTACATTCCATATACTAATAAATTTAATCAAAATACATATTGTACAGTTTATTCATTGATTTGACCTTTGGTCGCATAGTGTCCATAAGAAAATCCTTCAATACCGTTAGGCTCCAACCACCAACGTTTGTCGTCAAATGAGGACAAGGAAATTTTGTTGACGGCTTTAAGAAACAGATTATGATTATCACTCCTTATAGAGTTCATTGTATGTCTCTCTAATTTACTGCTCAAAAGGCAATTCACATAGTTCTGATAGGTCAATTCTTTGTTTACTACTGATTTGGAGATTCCTTTCGCTTTTTTCACTTGAGTTTTTTTCTCATCGTAAACAATGAATGAATACATTTTGGGTCGTAAATCACCAAATCCAAGGATTGGATGAGATGCAGTTTCATCTTTCATTTTACCAACAACCTTCTTGTGTTTTTCACTGAACAGGAAATGATCTCTCGGATAATTTGACGTATCAAACAAATCAATATATTTGTTTATCTCTTTGTACATGTCTTCAACTTCAAATCTACAAAATAATTTAAAATAGAAAGTAAAACAAGAACGATATCCGCCTTACACAGATATCAAAATGCGTCACAAGAACATAATTATATTTTACCTGTAGAACAGAGAGTCAGTATCCGTCATCAGTAACTTTACTTTTTCCCCATATTGTTTTTTGATGAAGCCATAATGAAATTCATACATGAAGAGCTTGGAAAGATCCAATATGCTCATCCCAGTGTAGATTGGTTTGTTCAGCAAAAGTTTCACCTTTTTGTTTTTCACTCCTACTAGATCCTCATTAAAGATGCTAAAACTCTCAAAAACTTGGTTTACTAACCAATCTTTGCAGTCGTTTTTTTGTGTGAACTAAGTTAAAATTCAGTCTATTTCTTATGTTTTCCATGGTTTTCCTGAAAGATTAAAAATTTTGTAACGATATCATATCATTTATCATTGATCATTTTACAATTTATCATAATTTTCAAGAGAACTTACCCAAAAACGATATTGTTGTAAGATTTGTGAAGAGAAACGTCAAAGTCATTCTGTGCTTGTTGTCTCATTTTAGTGTTGTATTCTATGTAGGGTTTTAGCCAATTTTCTTGTTCAAAGCTTATTACTCGATGTATTTCCTTCAAAATAAGTCCATGCTGAAGATAGAATTGTAAATTCCTATAGTGAACAACGTATTTTTCCTTTGCTCTGAGTGTAGGAACAAGTTTTCTTGAAATTTCTCCTTCAGTTTTTTGTTTATGAAGACAGTTATACAGTTTTTGGCAGTGAGGTGACAAATCTTCAATTCTGATTGATAACGACTCTGGTGCTAATGGGAGATCATTATGCCAATCATGCAGATGACTTGGATACTCAAGAGTTACCTCTAAGATATATCCCGTTTTAGCATTTTTTTCTATATTTATGATTTCAAGCTTCGATGTTTCTTCTGCAGTCAGCCAGTGGAAATCTCTTACTGGTAGGGCTTCAACCATAGCCCCTCCATATAAGTTATTCATATCAAAATACCCTAAGTAAACATTTGGTTTGCTTGGGTCATAGCTTTTCCCGATATAAGGGTTGTTAGCTTCAGCGTAACGTAATGTCATCATTGCAACACCACCACGCACACCCCTTTCAATCATCTGATATTGCTCTATGTCAGTCAGTAATTCTAATTCAACTCCAGTCATTTTCAAACATGCACTCCAGCACATGCCGGCGAGAGTGTAATACTGTGCTGGATCTAAATCAAAACTTTTCATGGATATGCTTCTGAATCGTTCAAACACATCTGCTAAAAGTAGCACGTCACAAAGTACATACAGATCATGATATTCACCCATTGTTTGGATATCCATTACCCTCCACACTTCTTTAGCATGTTCATACTCTTCATCTGTGATGTGACACTTGCGTATTGTATTGTAGAATTCGTGTTTGGGGGGTAATTCATTCACTAAAAACTTTGAACTGTCTGTAATGAATGAATATGGGTATATTCCTTTTTTCAATAA